ATGGAAATTTTGCATGGGCTCAACAACAATAAACATCCAACCATTAATTATCCAACAAAAGGCTGCATCAGAAAGATAACAAATTCCCCCTACATCAGCACACTCCACCAATATTCAAACTCTAAACCTATCACCATACAAACATCCATATTATTATTTTTACTACTACATACTGAAACTTAACTCGATAAAAACCCTTCCTCAAACGTCCCTTACAACCTCAACAAACACATGACCATAAACAAGGCACAGATCACTCTTTGATTTTCCCCTGTCCATCTCACATTATCAAAAAATTCAATGCACATAAAAAGGCCCAAAATCTGGAATTCATTACCTGTGAATATAAAAGAAACACTGTTTATAAATTCAAGTCTCTACTTAAAAATCACCTACTCACCCACAACTAAATAAATACTGAATAATTGTATCTCATAAGTGTTTAACCTGTGACCCAATCAAACTTTATTTTTAATTACATTACCTAACAGAATATTCCATTCTACTGAATGCACAGCAACACAGTAAATGACCATATGACCTGTCTTTGAAATACTCATTTGTGCTCAATTGTTATCTGTTTACAATAATGTTTACCACTGAATATATCATTGTTTAGTTAATCTTAAGTTAATTTTAAGCCTGCCCATAATGCTCTGCATACAAGGGGCTTTGGCATGTTACACTTAATCACTGTATTTTTTTGTACTTCAATGTATCATGTTCAAATAAATAAATAAATAATAATAGACGGCTTCAAAAGGCCGTCACTAGATGGCAGTGTTTACCACAACAAAGAGGGAGTGGTTGTGGTTGCCTCCACCTGTTACATAATGACATATTTTATTCATTCTAGAGTATATATCATGTTTCCATGTTATTTATATTGTTTGTTATGTCATATTAGATGAACTATGATAGACAAATAAACCGTATAGATATTGGCAAAATTATTCATGAAGTATTTTGTCCTGTCTCCAGACAAACTCTCGTCCACCGCCAGCACCGCCCATACTTCCACATGAATGACATATTTTATTCATTTTAGAGTATATATCAGGTTTCTATTTTATTTATATTGTTTATTATGTCATATTAGATGAAGTGATATAGATAAATAAGCCGTCGAGTTGATATTAGTGAAATTATTGAAGTACAGGATTCCACTGGAACGGATTAATTGCATTTCACTTAATTTAAATGAGGAAAATTGACTCTGCAAACGAGCAAATCCAGTTGCGAGCAAGGTCATGGAACGGATTAAACTCGCGAGTAGAGGTTCCACTGTATTTTCAACTGCCTTTTTGATCTTAGTGTTTGTTTGCCATGATAGTCATTTCCTTCACCTTCCTGAATCTACTCTTGTGTGTGTCAAAGAAACCATGCAATCAGAATGTATCCAAATACAAATTCTATTATACAGTATGTCGATAACATTCCCTCTGAGTAACCTACAGTATTTCCATATTATCCCACCTACTCTAGGTCCTATCTTCATTGACAACAGACTTTCTCTGGTGCCAAATATAAGCCTCATTCTGGAGACCCAGTAGTTGCAGCAGGCCCAGGAGCTGGAGCTTGTTCCCATAAGCATAAGTGATTAATTATACACAAAGAGAAGAGGAGACATGACAACCACACAGGTTATAAAAAATTAAGAGAATAGCTAAAAAATTTTTGGGGCACCATCAAAGTGGGAGAAGAAGCTACAGTGGTAAACTGAGGAAGATAAGATAAGATAGGTAAGATAAGATTTCGTTCGGATTTTTAACCCCGGAGGGTTAGCCACCCAGGATAACCCAAGAAAGTCAGTGCGTCATCGAGGACTGTCCAACTTATTTCCATTGGAGTCCTTAATCTTGTCCCCCAGGATGCGACCCACACCAGTCAACTAACACCCAGGTACCTATTTGCTGCTAGGTGAACAGGACAACAGGTGCAAGGAAATGTGTCGAAATGTTTCCACCCACCGGGAATCGAACCCGGGCCCTCCGTGTGTGAAGCGGGAGCTTTAGCCACCAGGCCACGAAAAAGAGGTGATGACACAACACTACAGTTTTTCTTTATTAAAAGTGGCAAAATAAATAAATGGCATACCAGATGAGGTTAGTAATCACTGTATTACAATCAACAGAGTCTTAACCCTTTCAGGGTCCAGAGGCCAAATTTCAAAGTGCACACCAGGGTCCAAGAATTTTCAAAAAAAAATTTTGTTATTTTTTCTTATGAAATGGTAGAGAATTTTTTTCTGAAGGTAATAAAACAATTATTATTTTTTTTTATTATCACACTGGCTGATTCCCACCAAGGCAGGGTGGCCCGAAAAAGAAAAACTTTCACCATCATTCACTCCATCACTGTCTTGCCAGAAGGGTGCTTTACACTACAGTTTTTAAACTGCAACATTAACACCCCTCCTTCAGAGTGAAGGCACTGTACTTCCCATCTCCAGGACTCAAGTCCGGCCTGCCGGTTTCCCTGAACCCCTTCATAAATGTTACTTTGCTCACACTCCAACAGCACGTCAAGTATTAAAAACCATTTGTCTCCATTCACTCCTATCAAACACGCTCACGCATGCCTGCTGGAAGCACGATATTTGATGGAAAATTGACAAAATTATGCTCTTGTGAATTTTGATGTGTTAGCGATATTTATGAATCGGCGATTTTGCCGACTTTGACTTCCATTTTAGGCCAATTACATTATTCCAATCGATCAAATTCTAAGCTATTTCACTAGTATTAGTTCTATTCTATCGGTTGAGCACAAGAAATCACCCAGTCAACTATTTCAACTACAAAATAAAGTGATCGGAAATTGGTAATTTGGCCAATTTAACACAAAGTTCAAAATATTCCAATTTCAAAACAGAGTCCAGAATAAACAATGCAGGCATTCCTGGCACTAAACTAACATTTCCTCTGTTCATTAGTTATGTTTTCAGGCTTTACAAATGAATTCCATTTTGATTTTTTATTCACATAATGAATTTTTATTCAAACCAAAAAATAGAAGATTTACTGTTATGTAATATTGTAATAATTGTATAAATATCATCACCACATTTGTGAATGTATATTAAACTCGCCAGCTGGTGTGTATTAGACGTGTGAGATCGTTTGTTTACTCTTGAACATTGGCAAAAATTTAACATTTCCGCTACTTTGAGCTCAGTTTCAAGCCATTTCCAGTACTAAAACCAATCAAATTCATCTCTATTTCTGTAATATATCTTCGATTCTATCAAATGAGACCAAGAAATCGCAAATACAACTATAAAAAACATACAAAAAAACACTGCAAAGTCGCTGTTTTAATCGAAAATCACGGTCTCAGTTTTTTCTCTCATTATACACTGTGTGCTGCAGAATTTGTTTTATGTGGTGCACACATACCACATAGATGTATTCTCTCATATCTAGGCCCAAATTTACCACTCACAGCTTATCAGAGTGAGCTGAGCTCGTGGCGTAGATCTACGGTTTGGACCCTCAACGTAATGCCGTAGATCTACGGCACAGACCCTGAAAGGGTTAAAGAACAAAAAGTCATAATACCATGACTGTAACAATACACAAATAACCTGCACACAGGATAAAGAAACCTATGATGATGTTTTGGTCTGATGTGGACCATTAACCCTTTGAGGGTCGACAGGCCCTCTCCGAAACTCGTTCTCAGGGTCGGCCAAATTTAAAAAAAAAAAAATTATTTTCTCTTATGAAAAGATAGAGAATCTTTTCCCGATCATAAAGACACCAAAAGTTTGAAATTTGATAGAAAACTTATGGAATTATGCTCTCGCAAAGTTAGCGGTCTCGGCGATGTTTACGCATCGGCGATTTTGCCCACTTTGAGCCCCATTTTTGGCCAATTTCGCTGTACTAGTAGACAAAAAACGTGAATATTTCGCTAGAACTCCATTTTTTCTATCGAATGGGTGAAAAAAACCACCCATTTATGAAATTCAACTATCCAGTACAGTGGTCAGAATTTAGCAATTTTGCCAATTTCACACAAATTTCAAAAGATGCCAATTTCCGAATAGGGTCCAGAATAAACAAGAAAGACATTCCTGGCACTAAAATGACATTTCCTCTAGTCATTAGTCACGTCTCAAGGCCCTCTTATGTTCTTTTGCTTTCCATTTTGAATTTTTATTCTCACAAAAAAATATAAGATTTACTGTTATGCAGACTACTGCATTAGTGTAAAAAATGGTATAAATATTATTGGTGCACTTGTGAAAGAATATTAGACTCACCAGTTGACGTGTATTGCACACTTGGCACGATTTGTTTACTTTTGAAGTTTGGTAAAAATCGAACATTTCTGCTACTTTGAGCTCAATTTCAAGGCACCTTTCATTGTAAAACCAGCCAAAATCATCTCAATTTCTGTAATATGTCTTCCATTCTATAAAATGAGACCAAGAAAACTAGAATTACAACAATAAATACCATACGAAAATACACTGCAAAGTCGCTGATTTATTCCAAAAAAATAGTCAAAGTTTTTTTTTTCTCATTATGCACTGTGTGCTGCAGGATTTTTTTTAGACTGTGCACACTGACCACATAGACCCATTCTTTCATATGAAGGCCTACCAGCTTTCTCCCACTAGATTTGAGGCCGCTAGAATTTATGCGTACTAGTACGTCAAAAACCCCTACGCGTAAGACGTACTAGTACGACGAAAACCCTCAAAGGGTTAACTATTAACACGCTGTGACTACTTAATGGTCCAAGTCGGATCAAAACATCATCATAAGTTTCTTTATTTGTTTCTCCTATGTGTGGGTTATTCGTGAATAAATTTTTAATAGATACATGAAACATTAAATATGGAAGACGGGATATGTGAACACTAAGTCTGCTCCTGCAGCTCACAAAAGGTAATTGTTAGTAATAGGTTTAATAAATGCTTAGATATAAAAATTTCTATATCACCCACATTTAAAAGGTAAGAAATACTGTATTTATTGTATGTTACTTACTTGATTAATTCTTCTCAATGACTGAGTTCCCACAAGAAAATTTATTTTTTCCGTTTCAGCAGTGTGTGCAGCCAGCGCCCGTGCCTGAAAACAACCCAGGTTGTCAGTCACAATAAAATGAAGAGACAGTAAACTATTTAAAACATAGAACCTAAAAAAAATCAACATTTTGAAGGCTACCCCAATATAAGTTCAAACATGGGAATATGACACATGCAAAGAATAATTAATAAGAATATTTGTTAAGGCAGTTATAGAGTGAGTGATGGTGAAGGTATTTTTTTTTTTGGGTCACCCTACCTCTGTGGAAGACAACCAGTGTGTTAAAAAAAGAACTTCACGACATCCCCACCTACCTCAAAGCCAAACAAGGGAAGGAACTACATACACTATGACCCCCCAGGGCTAATGAAGAGGTACTGTATATGCAACTAATCATCAGAGGGCCAGAAGCAGCTCAGGGAAAAACATGACCATACGCTCTGATTAGCTTTCAAATACTGATAGCGAGTACAGGTGGAAAATGGTCACCAACACTTGCTCCCACCACAAGAATTAACTCAGTACAGTATATTACAATGTATGACTACAAATAACTTCACACTTTTTTTTATCTAGTTTCATGTTAATAAGAACACAAGAATGGAGGAACACTGCTGAATTCCTACTGGCCCATACAAGTCAGGTCCTTATCATAACCACCCCTCCCCAACAACACCAATCAGATCCAGCCCCTCTCACTCACATATTAGAAGAATGACTATTCTTCTTCCTTTGTTAGCGGTAGTAATTCAGCAAGTTCCATGTCCTTCCAGTGCTGGAAATTAACCAGTACAAGTCAGAACCTTCCCCAGCAGAAACAATTGCAAAAAGAAATATACTCTGATGTGTTATTCCTTTTTAAATGCACTACATTACCTTGATGTTGTAGTTGCACTACACAACAACAAGTCCATGCCTAGTGCAATGTTAATTATTTCTTACTCACTGATTGGTTGGTTAATTAGATTTAAAGTTTATCAACTTAGCAAAGGGTCATCAAGGTTGTATATACAGCAGAACCCTGAATATCGGCTACTGTGTTTATCAGCCGAATCATATTTAGGCCAGTTTTTGGGCCAAAATTTTGCTCTGTATTTCGGCTGGTGCCTCACAAATTAGCTGTACTGTATGCGTCAGCCCGCCACCTGCCGGAACGCCACTGCATAGGTGAGTCAGTCTCCCTGTGTCTCTCGGTGAATGTGCATATACTCTGCACATTCATCCAAACATTTCCTTAAAATTCATTGGCTTTTGTGCTTGTTTATTAAGTGCAACTGTGAAATAAGCCACCATGGGCCCAAAGAAAGTTCCTAGTAAAGTTCCTTTGGTAAAGAAAGTGAGAAACACGATGGAATTTAAGGAAGAAGTTATTGAAAAATACGAGAGTGGTGTTTTTGTGCTAGAACTTGCCAGGATGTATGGGAAATCCAAATCAACAATCACTTCAATCCTGGCAAAGAAAGTAGAAATCAAGGAAGCTAATGTTCTGAAAGGGAGTTTAGCAGGGAAGCAGGGAGTGTAGCAGGGAAGCAGGGAGTGTAGCAGGGAAGCAGGGAGTGTAACAGGCAGGCAGGGAGTGTAGCAGGGAGGCAAGGAGTGTAGCAGGGAAATCAAGTAAGCTAATGTTGCAAAAAGGAGTTTAGCAGGGAGGCAGGGAGTGTAGCAGGCAGGCAGGGAGTGTAGCAAGGAGTGTAGCAGGCAGGTAGTGTAGCAGGGAGGCAGGACCCCAATGGAAATAAATCACTCTGTCTGACTTTTTTGGATTATCCTAAGCTCTTAACACATAAGCTGTGGAAGGGAGGCAGGGAGTGTAGCATGGAGGGAGGGAGTGTAGCAGAGAGGCAGGGAGTGTAGCAGGGAGGCAGGGAGTGTAACAGGCAGGCAGGGAGTGTAGCATGGAGGGAGTGCAGCAGGGAGACAGGGAGTGAAGCAAGGAAACAGGGAGTGTAGAAGGGAGGCAGGGAGTGTAGCAGGCAGGCAGGGAGTGTAGCAGGCATGCAGGGAGTGTAGCAGTAAGGGAGGGAAGTAACCCCAGAGAAGGCTTTTATACCTGAAGTCCTAATAGAGGGGGATTCCCCTTCCAAACAATAATCAGTCTTCCCTCCCTCCTCCTCCTCCCTGTCTTCCATAAGCCAACAAGAGTCTTCAGTAAAGGTATGTAATAATGATTTAAATGTTCATTTATTTATTTTATTTAGTTCTCATTGTTTTGTGTATGTAAAACTATAATTAGTCTTTAAAAAATGTATTTTTTGTTAATATTTTTGGGCGTCTGATATGGATTAATTGTATTTACATTAATTCTTATGGGAAATATTGCTTCAAATTTAGGCCGACCTTCTGGAACAGATTACAGCCGATATTCGGGGTTCCACTGTATGTAATGCAAAATTCAGGCATTTTTGTGTCTGCTTCCCAACAGAATTCAGGGTCATATGCCTATGACCAGATGTCCCGTCCCAATGCACCAGACTCACAAGGGCTTTGTCTGAGATATTTTATCCATTATATCTGAAATCCACCTTTTTTACTGTACCTGTGTGCTCTGTTGCAGCTCTCCAGGAAGAGTCAAAGAGATGGGTTGATTAGTGTACAGTATATACGTATAATATGCACATCAGTAATTATGAATGTTTTGTATGCGAGTAAATTTAAACTTTCTAATAGTGGGGTTGTGTTGTCTGGAAGCTGACTGAGTTTTGTTGAATAATGATGAGTTTGGGTAATTTGCTGTTGTACATACTAGGAGTGTGCCAAAATATCAGTATCCACATTCGTAAGTATCAGCTATTTTTATGGAACAGGCATCAGCATCAGTGAAAAAAGTTGCCAATACTGGCCCATAATTTTGAAATATTTATATTACACATGGTTAAAAACATTAAAATTTACATTTTGCCCCATGAATATGTAGGTTATTCACTTACACTCACACACACATGAACATGGTACACTGTGCATACACTTCAGTTTTTTTATCCACTGTATACAAAAGCAAAATGATAAAAGACATCATTGCTAACTGTACACAAATAGTGAACCATTTCAAGCCACTTTCTGCTAGCCTGCAGTTAACTAAAGGCTTTTCAAGAACATGATGAGCTATCAAAGTACATATATACCTATTATTGTAAGCTGATCCTCTCGTTAACGCTAATGTCAATAACTCAGTTTACTGTATTACTATGGTATCTCCTTTCATTGTAACCGATTTTCACACAGTTGAGTTACTTAGCTGTTTTACCTTTTATGGATAAAATAATAAGATATTACAAGGACCTCAATGGAAAGAAATCACTTTGACTTTTTTTTTTAGGTTATCCTAGGTAATTTACACATATGTATGATAACTGTACTTATGTATACCTTGCCTAAATAAACTTATAATAATAATAACAATTACTTAAGCCCACTCAGAATAAACCTACCTGCTGGAATACACTGCAATGACCTTTTTTTTTTTACACATCTGTGATTTAAAAAACGTCATTGCAGTGTATTGCTTAAATGAAACATCCTCCATTATCCAGCAGAAATAAGCAGAGTTTTACTGCCAAGTTATCCATCCCATTCACTGAAAATAGTATTTCACAAAACAACTACTATACGTCTCCTGGAGTATACCTGGAGGGGTTCCAGAGGGTCAACGCCCCTGCGACCTGGTCCATGACCAGGCCTCGTGGAGGATCAGGGCCTGATCAACCAGGCTGTTACTGCTGGCCGCATGTAAACCAACATATGAACTACAGCCTGGCTGCTGCTCAGGTACTGACTTCAGGTGCCTGACCAGTGCCTTTTTGAAAACATCCAGGGGTCTATTGGTAATCTCCCTAATTGCCTAATCTTGGGCCCCTGACACTTACTGGGTTGTCTCTTAGCATACTTGTGGTGCCCCTGCTTTTCACTGGGGAGATGTTGCATCTCCTGCCATGTCTCGGTGACAAATTTTCTGGTTCAGAAATACTGTCAAGAACAATACTGGAAATAAGTCAAGGACCCCAATGGAAATAAGTCACTTTGTCTGACATTTTTTGAGTTAAGTAAGATTACTTAGCCATAGGTACACAGAAGTACAATTATCATACATAGCATAAATTACTGTAAGATAACCCAAAAAGTCAGAGAAAGTGATCTATTTCCACTGGGGTTATCTAGGTAATTTACATCTGTTACTATGTATAATAATTGTACTTATGTGTATCAGTACCTAAATAAACTTCCTAAGAAAACTTTAACAATCTAAGATTCTCAGTCTTGAAGTGTCAGTGTTAGATAGGTTCGAGAGTTCCACCACTGACTACAACATGTTACTCAGCACATTCCTAGATCCCCAATATAAAAATAATATTGCCAATGTCAATGCAGTGAATGTGTCATATAAAACAAATCTTAATGACACTGAGAATGAACTGAGAGAAACTCCTTAGAGAATTCAGCATCTCAAGAGCTCAAGGGATCCAGCTGGTTTACTAGAAGTGTCAAATTTAATTTTTTTTTTTTATATGGTACAAAGATAATGTAGTTTACAGAAGGGCCTTGTTTAACAGCGCTTCACTTTACAGCATTCAGCTAACACAGCAGTTTTCAGTTATACCCATTCTTCATTTATTCAGATTTCCTACAATAAATATATTCACCACTCACTATAAGCTAAGCATGAAAATATTTTAAGGTAAGTAATGTGTGTACAGCCTCTCCTCACTTAGCGACGTACTCATTTACTAACCACTCAGACTTACGACCAGCTCTCCAACCGATATGCGCACCTAAGTAATGTATATTAGAGCTGATTTTTTCTATTCTGTTTATTACAGTATACAGTACACTACGATAAACATTTAAAAATATAATGAAAATGTTATAAATGATGCAAAAGTGACATTAAAACAATATCTAAAGATGATTGACAAAAACCCACTACTGGTACAGTATGATAAATCAGACACATGTGCATGAACCATTCATCTACATAACAGTACAGTAAGCTCCTTGCTTAACAACCTACTCTTAGGAACAGAACCCTGTCGTTAGTGAGGAGAGGTTGTACTGTGTATGCATTTTTTAGGCCTAGCTCTATTGCTCACTTAATATATGATAGTGTAAACATGTTATCAGGATTTTACATGCATTTGAAAGTGAAAAAAGGCTATGTTTCATTTTACACCATTTTCACTTTACAGAAGTAGCACAGAACCTAATCGGCTATATAAGCAGGGCCCGCCAGTACTTGTAATACAACATTGACACACAAAAGAAAGCTACTGGTATGCAATGCATTTAAGGCAAACTAACCCTAATGCTTAAAAACTACTTAAGAATTAAACAAAGACTATTAAGTAGAATTTTTTGCAGTTAACTACAATTACGTATATGGACAATAAGAAGGTAGCTAATGAACAAATAATATAATATCCAAAGTATGACTTATTATTTCAACCTGATTCAATGATCTTCAGTTCTGTGGAGTGATTGCATAGATGAAGATAGAGGAAGTTACTTAGCTACAGTAGAAATATAATGGGTGTTCCATGGCCTGGTAGGCAACGCTTTCACTTCACAAACTGGGTGTCTGTGATTCGATCCCCAGCAAGGGTGGAAACATGGGTCGTGTTTCCTTACACCTGTTGTTCCATTCACCTAGCAAGCAAGTAGGTAACTGGGTGTTAGTCACTTGGCATGGGTCGCATCCTGGGGGACAAAATTGAGGACCCCAGTGGAAATAAGACAGACAGTCCCTCGATGATGCAATGACTTTCTTGAATGATCCTGGGTGGATAACCCTCCGGGGTTAAAAATTCGAATGAAATTTTATCTTAACCAATTTTCTATGGGAGCTGAATGAAGATTGGAAGTAGAACAGGGACAGAGTTGAAGACTGGAAGTAGAACAGGGACAGAGTTGTAGATTGGAAGTAGAATGGGAACTGAGTTGAAGACTGGAAGTAGAACAGGGACAGAGTTGTAGATTGGAAGTAGAACACGGACAGAGTCGAAGACTGGAAGTAGAACAAGCACAGAGTTGAAGACTGGAAGTAGAATGGGTACTGAGTTGAAGACTGGAAGTAGAATGGGTACTGAGTTGAAGACTGGAAGTAGAACAGGTACAGAGTTGAAGACTGGAAGTAGAACAGGTACAGAGTTGAAGACTGGAAGTAGAATGGGTACTGAGTTGAAGACTGGAAGTAGAGCAGGTACAGAGTTGAAGACTGGAAGTAGAACAAGTACAGAGTTGAAGACTGGAAGTAGAATGGGTACTGAGTTGAAGACTGGAAGGTGAACAGGTACAGAGTTGAAGACTGGAAGTAGAGCAGGTACAGAGTTGAAGACTGGAAGTAGACAATGGTACGAGTTGAAGACTGGAAGTAGAATGGGTACTGAGTTGAAGACTGGAAGGAGAACAGGTACAGAGTTGAAGACTGGAAGTAGAACGGGTACTGAGTTGAAGACTGGAAGTAGAACAGGTACAGAGTTGAAGACTGGAAGTAGAACGGGTACTGAGTTGAAGACTGGAAGGAGAACAGGTACAGAGTTGAAGATGGGAAATAGAATCGGGTACTGAGTTGAAGACTGGAAGAGAACAGGTACAGAGTTGAAGACTGGAGTAGAAGGTACTGAGTTGAAGACTGGAAGTAAACAGGACAGAGTTGAAGACTGGAAGTAAACTGAGTACTGACGTTGATAGATGAGAAAGTGTTCAGTGAGGATTACAATGGTGCTGCTTAAGAGACTGGACAGAACGGTATCGGGTTGATGGGAAGGAACAGGCACATGATAGACACAGTGTGTGAGGCCTGAACTGTGATTTTGAGGTTATGAAGAATGGATGATCCCCGAGAGGATTCAGTAGCAGAAACACCTTGTTGATACCCTGACCCACGGGGAGGCCTGGTGATGGACCGTGCTGTGGGGGCATTGATCCCCAGAATGCTCTCCAGGTAGACTCCAGGTAGGTAGGTAATTATCCTGGGTAATTTACACACATGTAACTATGTATGATAATTTTACTAATGTATACCTGTACCTAAATAAACTTACTTTACTTTAATTACCATCAACAACACTTCAACACAAATCAAGAGACTCACAAGCATAATAATAATAATAATAATAATAATAATATAAAGCTTTATTTACTACAAATACATGTACAAGGTATACAGACCATAGTTGACATCAATGACATACTATTGTATAAAAAGCCACTTGTTATGTTGAGCATTTCCCGCACATTAGGTCAGTTTTGCCCCAGGATGCGACCCACACAAGTCCACTAACTCCTAGATACCCATTTCACTGATGGGTGAACATAGACAAGTGGTGTAAAGAACCACGTCCAATGTTTCTACCCTCGCTGGGAATCGAACTCGCACCCTGACCTTGTGAATCGAGAGCTTTAGCCACCAGGCCAAGAATGGCCAGGTACACATAAGTACAGTAACACAGATTTAGGTGATTAAAATTACCATACATAGTAGCATACGTGTAGATTGCCCTCCCCCCCCCTCCCACAACAAATAAATTAATAAAGATCAGACGAAATTACTTATTACCATGGTGGATGGAGGCTCCTTCTCTTAAACTTACCTGGAAGTCTTCTAAGCCATATATAACTGGAGCATCATCCATCTTTAACTCTTCTTTAGATTACTTTTAAGTTCAAGAAGAGCGTCTGAAATGTTGTATTTGTTGTTGTTTTTTTCAGGGGCCACCAAAATTTACGCTTTATTGAGCTCTAACTCCTTATTTTCCCAGTGATCAATAATTTAAGTAAGTTTATTCAGGTATATACAAATACAGTTACATAGATTATCATACATAGCAGCATATGTGTACAGAACCCAGGATAACCCAAAAAAAGTCAGTGACTTATTTCCATTGTGGTCCGAAACAGGAGTCCGAAATAACTATGAATGACAAGGTTGACATCGATACAGTGTGAATGATATCCATAAGAATAGTCTACAACTTGACTGTGAAAACTTGTCGAGTCTAGTGATTGACCTGGAATGAGGCCTGGTAGGCAACGCTCTCGCCTCACACTCTGAATGTCCGGGGTTCAATCTCCGGCTGGGTGAAAACACCGGGCGTGTTTCCTTACACTTGCTATCCCTGTTCACCTAGCAAGCAAGTAGGTACCTGGGTGTAAGTCAACGGGTGTGGGTCGCATCCTGGGGGACAAGGTTGAAGGACCCGAATGGAAATAAGACAGACAGTCCTCGATGACGAACTGACTTCCTTGGATTATCCTGGGGGGGGGGGTTACTGCTAACACTCCGGTGTTAAAAATCCGAACAAATTCTTATCTTATCTTACCCAACATTATTAGAAAATTAGAACCATCGGTAAAAACTACAATAGCACGAAAATGAGAATGAAAATGCTGTTCTACACTAACGGCTCCTTTCGCACCTCAGTTACTGGGAATGGTTAAGTCCCTTGACCTGTACTCCTTGGAACATAGGCGCCCTCACAGCCCGGTCCATGACCAAGCCTCGCGGTGGATCAGCGCCTGATCAGCCAGGCTGTTACTGCCGGCCACACGCAAACCAACGTACGAACCACAGCCTGGCTGGTTAGGTACTGACTACTGGTGCGTGTCCAGCTCCCTCATCCCACAGTCACTAAAAACAACAGACATAGTCCCACTCCACAAAGGTGGCAGTAAAGCAATTGCAAAGAACTACAGACAGATAGCACTAACATCCCATACCATAAAAATCTTTGAGAGGGTTCTAAGAAGCAAGATCGCCAACCACCTAGATACCCATCAATTACACAACCCAGGGCAACACGGGCTTAGAGCAGGTCGTTCCTGTCTGTCCCAGCTACTGGACCACTATGACAAGGTCCTGGATGCTGTGGAGGATAAACAAAATACAGATGTTAGGTAAGACACATGTGCAACAGTTAGACAACTTTATTCCGAAACGTTTCGCCTACACAGTAGGCTTCTTCAGTCGAATACAGAAAGTAGGCATGACCAGTAGAGATGTGAAGACGATGTAATCAGTCCATCACCCTTAAAGTCGTAGAATTTGAGGTTGTCAGTCCCTCGGCCTGGAGAAGTTCAGTTCCATAGTCCTGACTATTGGAACTGAACTTCTCCAGGCCGAGGGACTGACAACCTCAAATTCTACGACTTTAAGGGTGATGGACTGATTACATCGTCTTCACATCTCTACTGGTCATGCCTACTTTCTGTATTCGACTGAAGAAGCCTACTGTGTAGGCGAAACGTTTCGGAATAAAGTTGTCTAACTGTTGCACATGTGTCTTACCTAACAACCTGTCGGTATTGTATACCATTTTGATGTTCAAAATACAGATGTAGTATACACAGACTTTGCAAAACTTTCGACAAGTGTGACCATGGTGTAATAGCACACAAAATGTGTGATAAAGGAATAACAGGGAAAGCTGGCAGATGAATATATAACTTCCTGACAAATAGAACACAAAGAGTAATAGTAAACGGAGTAAACTCCCAGGCAGCCACGGTGAAAAACTCGGTTCCACAAGGCACAGTACTCGCTCCCATTCTATTCCTCATCCACATTTCTGACAGAGACATAGATGTAGGTCATAGCTCCGTATCTTCCTTTGCAGATGACACCTGGATTACCATGGTAGTGACTTCCATCGAAGACACTGCAAGACTCCAAGCGGACATCAACCAAATCTTCGAATGGGCCACTCAAAACAATATGAAGTTCAACGAGGAGAAATTTCAACTACTCAGATATGTGAAACTTGAGGAAATTAAAAATGTATCAGGGTATACCACAAATTTTAACCATACAATAGAGCGGAAAAGTAATGTAAAGGACCTGGGAGTGATAATGTCAGATGACTTCACCTTCAAAGACCACAACAATGTATGCACCTCATCTGCCAGGAAAATGGTAGGATGGATAATGAGACCCTTCAAAACTAGGGACGCCAAGGCCCATGATGATTTTCTTCAAATCGCTTGTGCTCTCTAGGCTGGAATACTACTGTACACTAACGACCTCCTTCAAGGCATGCGACATTGCAGACCTGGAGAGTGTACAGAGAACTTGCACTGCACACGTAAGTGCGATAAGGCACCCAGGGCCGGATTAAGAAGTCTCCGGGCCCTAGGCTATTCAGATTGGCGGGGCCCCTTTGAGTTACGGGTAAGCGAAGCGACCCCTTCCAGCTTGGGGGGGGGGGGGTTCGGTGAGAGCCTGTTTAAGGTCTAATTAAATACATTCTGGCTATTTAGATTAAATTTAATAGGGAAAGTACATCAAGACAACCAAAACCATTTACCAACAGCCATTATAACTATCTTGTTAAAGCATGCATTTTAAAGAGAATAAACTCAAGACAGCATAGTATTACTAGTTTAGGCTATTAAGTAGTGACATCATGTACCTATTATATTCGCAAAAACCACTACAGCACTATTATTCCCTTTATAAATCACTGACCATTATTGTTTTCATTGCATCATGCATAAGACTATCAAATCATATAAACTCAAGAAAGTAAAGAATTGTTTATATTCACAGGCACTTCTTAAATAAACTTTTTTCTGGATTTAATATTGGCAAAATCACAATTATATTCTGAAAATCAATATTTCTTGTTAGATCACACTCAAGGGTTTCAACAGGCTAGGTTACACAATTTGTCTTGGCTCTTTGTTGAACGGAGCTGGTTTTTCACTCTTTTCAAAAACAAAAATGAACGTTCTCCTTCACAGTTAGTAGCTGGAAGTGTTAGGTAAAGGCGTTACACTATGTCAACATTAGGGAAGGTTTCTGAGATCCCTGCATTTCTTAAATGTTTCAAGCACTGAGGGCGCACATTTTTCAGGTGGAGCTTTAATCTGATTCATATACCCAGAAAAATGAGCTATTTCTTCAACAAATGTGTCCTGAACATCTGTGGAAAAGGTGTTGTTGCAACTTTAATGCAGCTTCTCTCAGTTCTGCATCTGACATAGTAGTAATTTTGAACAGAAATCCAAATTTGTCATTGAGATTCTGGTAGATTTCTTTTCTTTTCACCAATTCTGTAATCAGTGAATCCAGAATGACGAAGTATGTAGCTGTCTTACATTTCTGCCTTGGTAGCAACACAATTTCATTGTCTGGCTCTTCAAAATTGCGTTTCCTCTTCCTTGACCGCTGATGATCAGCCCGGTAACTGTAGTCTTTCACCAGCAGTTTAGCTTTCTCTTCAAACATTTCAAAAGCTTCATCATTGCGAAGTGAGCACTGCAGGGACAGCATCGTGGAGTTCGACCGCGAAGCAGCTGTCAGGTACTCACCTAATTGTGGTTGCAGGGGTCGAGACTCAGCTCCTGGCCCCGTGTACCACAGGCAGTGTATACTCAGTTCCTCGAGCTTCAACATCCGTGCATACGAGGGCCTGGGATCTTCAGTCAACTTGGCGTCCACCAGGACGCTGACATGTCCCTAGGACAGCTCTCCATCGGGCTGCTAACGGAGTCACTGGCTTCTTGGACCTCTTGGGGAGGGTCGATGGTGCTCGTGCAAGCAGCAGATCCCGGGGCAACTTGCTGCTGTTTGCAATGGCTGTCTGCCGAGGAGAGACAGGCACCTAGCAACATCTGTTGGGGCAATGGATGAATTCCCTACTATGTTTGTTAACTGCTTTATTACTCTGTAATTTGTCTATGATTGTAATCATGTCATACGTGTTTATCATTCATTACCTTTGAAACTTGTCATGATTGTGACCAGCTCTACCTGGAGCTCATTACCTTTGTAAATTTTCATGATTAATGTGTTTATGATTCATTACCTTTGCAATTATTCATGAGTGTGACCAGCTCAACCTGGAGCTCATTACCTTTGTAACTTGGTCATGATTATGACCAGATTTAGTTCATTACCTTTGTAACTTGCTCAGCTATCAAAACTTTGGAGTCCAGTCTCTGGACCAATTATGTACCTCTGTAATCTTTTGACTACTGCCCACAGGATGGGTACCTGGAGTTTACCTGGAGAGAGTTCCGGGGGTCAACGCCCCCGCGGCCCGGTCTGAGACCAGGCCTCCTGGTGGGGTGCATAATAAACATATTAAACTAACTAACTGCGAAGTGAGCTTACAAATTCCACTAAGCCTGCATAGAGGTTAGCACAAGTAGCCATTTCAATTTCAATTTTCTGAAGTGTCTTGTTCGTGGCATTTAATCGTTCCAGTATACAGTCCCAAAGCACACAGAGTAAGGCCAATTCAAAATCTTCCAATTTTGATGCTAAGCTGGCTGCTTCGCTTCTTGTAGTTGCTGTCTGGTCTTCATCCTCTGCTATTTGGATCAAAGCAGAACGTATTTCAGCAAAGCTGTCTTTCAAAGATGTGTTGCATCATGCTGCGCTGACCACCTTGTTGTTGATAATGATTTGATGACATCTCCATGAATGGTTAACTTGAGTATACTCCACCGATGCGTTGAAGCAGAGAAAAAATTAAAGAGTGCTTGTAAAAGTCCAAAAAATGAAATGCAGCGACACAACACTCCGCAGCACATGACCCAACAAGATTAAGAGAATGTGCTGAGCAGGCACATATTCAGCAAGTGGGTTGATTTGCTTGATACGGGCTTGCAATCCATTATATTTACCCGACATGTTAAATTGCATTGTCGTAGCTCTGGCCCCGGCAATCCATAATAGAGAGATCATGTTCAAGCAGAGTATCCAGTACTACATTCATCATTGTTTCTCCATCATAGCCTGAAAGA